AAAATGTTTACAAAATCTTATCTATAGTTATCTTGAAATAATTTAATTTTAAGTTTAGAATAACATTATGGATTATGATTTATTTAATTAAAAGTGTCAAGCCAAGCCTCATTGTCGATATTTAGTAATTGTAACTTTCTTTTGGCCCCAAATTATAGTCTAGTCGGTTGCATAACAAATATATGACCGGTAATTCCGGAACAAGCTTTTTAGAATTCGCAATATAGGAAATGATTACGCAAAATAAAAATCATTTCATGATATAGCGAACGGAATGATTTTAAGCAAAAAAATGTGTCCGCCATTGTATAAAGCGCATTTAGGCTTATCTTCGGAACTAGAGAAGTGTGTCTGCCCTATTCCCTAGAGGCTACGGTAATCCACTATTACAATAAACATTCTTAAAGATTAACTCTGGACACAACTAAAGAAAGTAGTGGCAGAAGCATGCTCAATTCATAGGATGAGGTTTTCTACCTTGTATTTTCAGATATTCAAAAATTTTAAAGTCCCAATTTTCGATAGAATACAAAATTTGATATTACATTTAAAATCATTGGTTTAAAGGCAAAACTTGGTCATACCAAGATCGAGAAATCATTTAAATTTCTAATTCTGCAGGTGTGAATTGTCCGTTCCTACAGTTTTTATCTTGATATACAAAAATTGGTATGGATTTCTGTCATTTGTACGCTTTTTTGGATGTTTCAAATTATGCAACGGATATTCATTACAGACAGAACTATTTAAGAAGACTAGGTTTCTATTTCCGTAAACTTCTACATTGCATATATCAAAGTTACTGTGGTTAATAGTTACTAGGTAGATACTAAACGACATATAACGGATTGGTACTGTCTATCCACTGATTTCAATGTAGTTATCACGGGCAGATAGTAATTTCGCGTTATTGAACGAATATAAAAACAATTCAACTGTAATCATACCGTAAAGATAAAGGCAAGAAAATTATTTTTATTGTGGTTCCTTTCATTTTTATTTTTTATTTCATTTTTATATTTTCAATGTTCGATCGTTTAAGTTGTGTTTAACTTGCATACACTATTTTTTATTTATTTAAACTATTTTTTACTTTTAATAGAGTAAGTAATAACCACACATACAAACACCTTTCCAAGTCTAAAATATATACGATTTAAGAGTGATTAGTTGGTTAAATTTAGAGTGGTTAATTTTAAGTTTGTTGAATTTTGCAATACTAATTCTATGCAGACGAATCAGCGGCCACATTGTAAAAATACAGTAAACAGGCTCAGTAGGTACGTAATTTAGCTAGATTTTGTTTAAACCTAAAAGAACATCTGCGCATGTGCACTGTCCTGAGCAAATATAATATATTCATATCCTTATTGAATTTCAAAAGAAATTTAATGCTTCTTAATTTAATTTTTACACCAGCCTTGCGATTCTGTAACTCACTTTTCGAACTCACACAGCGGTTTTCACAGAGTTTTTGAGCACGACCGCCGCTGCGAAAACCGCTGTGTGAGTTCGAAAAGTGAGTTACAGAATCGCAAGGCAGTTCAAATAAAGGGCGTAGAATAGACGAGAACAGCTCGCAAGAAGCTCAAATGGTCGCTTTTTTGTTAACAAGATGATTGTTCTCTGCCACACATATTCTAAATATCTCTCAAATAGAATATTTATCAGCGTCTATAGCTTAGGTATACCCACGGTTGTTAGGTGTGGTTCCATTAACTGGTAGTAACGTCACAAATTCACCAATCGTAATAATTTTATGCGGTACGAATTACGAAAGGAAAAAAAACAGCGATATTGAAAGGCTTGTCAATTAACGTGCCAATTATAAAATAATAATACTTTATTTAAACACAAATGATTATGTGTGTGTATATCAGTATACTGACTGAAATTTTTCACATAATTTCCACCCGTATGACCTCAACATCGATCGTTCCAGAACGTGCGACTAGAAAGACTGAAGTATTTCTGAACCAATTCGACTTAGGGTCCATCAACAAAAGAGCGTAACAATTCTTAAAAGATCGGTAACGCCCTCGAGAGTTATCTGGCATGGAGAGTGTCCATGGGTGGCGATGTCCATGGGTGGTGGTAAAGAAAAAAGTAAATTTTAACACGATCAAACTTTGTACGCGTTTAGATTCTTTAACCTATTATCATATCCTTACTGATTTTAAGTTGTATAGTAGGATTTCCTAGCTTATGGTATATTGTAGTATTAAACAAGTAAATATGTAAGTGTTTTTTGACAAAGCTTTAAGTTTTTAATAGATTTTGTAAGTTTTTAATTTTGATACACGACACGAACGTAACGGAAATTTTATGTTCCATAAATACGACCTATTTGCCAGTCAGAATCGGCCGTATGTATAATTAATTGATCCATTTCATATTGATAAAACCACCGAATGATCGATTCGGCAATATATTTTAATATGTAACTGATAATGTATATGTTTTGTTTTAAATGTTGCCATTTATGCATCGTCACTCAACTTTTTAAACTCAAATCTACACTATCTTTATCTTGTGTTTGATTGTACTTTGTTTTTATTTGACTTAAAAAATAATTGAAAAATAATGCAATCGAACAACTGATTACTTATAAAATATTGTATTACAATTATCTGTGCGTGTTTTTGTAACTAAACTGGACCGACTTTGATGACATCTTTTGATTCGTGATTACAAATAGTGATTTTTTCTTGTTCGAGAATGGTTTAGATTTACAATTAGATGTTTTGTTTTGTTTTACAGTCCAGATGTTACAGCTTATTTAAAACAGTTTGAAATTTTTGTATTTTAGACGTGTGTCGGGTCCGGTAGTACATTATATGATAGCAAAAACATCAGTTACAGAATTACTCATCATTTAACTGAACTAATGATAATACACACAGATAATTTTTATATCAAATATCCTAAAAAAATCATCAGCGTCCACATTATAGAAAATCTTTATGTGTCCTAAAATAGTTTAGTTTAGATTAATAGCAGTATAACTTAAAAAAAAATCTAATACATGTTTCTACTATTTTAATCATAATACAGGGTAATAGTAGCGTCTTTGCTCACTATTCTTGATCTTCCTTTTCAACATTACCTAACCATAGTCGTGAATATACGTCTAGAAATATTGTCTCTGGTCGCCAAACTCCAAAAAAGTACAATGTTTCTACCCATGTTTTGTCATCGATAGGGCGATTGGAAAAAATATATGGTGGAGTTGAGTATATCGATCTTTCAAAATGAATACATAAACGTATTCATTTTGAAAGATCGATATACGATTTAAATAACTTCGCTTGATAGAAAAGAAATCCAAACATAGCAAATTTTTGACACTTTGAATACATTTTATGACGAAAATAGAACATGATTTTGAAATTTAACCGATATTTTTTATCCAAGCCAAATAATCCATTTCAGAAAAAAACATTGATAAAATTACATTAATTAAATGTTTTACATAACTAATTGTTATTACGGGCCGGCGCGCCTCAGTGCTCCAGCTCTCTGCGCCCCGCAGTCCACCCCGAGACACTAACACAACAATTCGTGCTGGGAGAGGGCCTTAAGTGAGATAATTTTATAGACAATTAGGTGTCCTTCTGTGCCTCGATATTTATATCTAATACATACTGGTTTCGTCACAATATCTTTCCTTTACCGAACAATTGAAGTTCTGATAACACTATAGGTTCCTTAAACATCTTGATATTAAAGTCCATTCATAAAACTCACATACGTTTGAACGATACAGTAAAATGTAACAACACAATATCGTATCGCGTCAATAAGGTTCTGTTTACAGCCTTAGTAAAATTACAGTTTAGTAAAATTCCATGAGTTTTTGCTTGAACTTCAGAGGGCAGAGCACCATTCGGCAACCAGGAGTCTGATGTAACCTTCGGAGGTATTTCATTAGGAAAGGCCGGTCAGTGACCTCTTTATATACTAGACAACTAATCAAATTGTGACAGCAAAGGACTCTAAACCTGGTGTACTATACAAACACTTTTTTATGACCGGTGGCGTGATATCTTTAACATTGAATGTACAGGGTTTATTATTGTACGTTACTTAAGGTTTATATTTTGTTTTGCAGTCTTACGAAGGTTGTTTTTTATATATAAAATAATCAACAACGGAAAAAAACACTGATATTTTAGAAAATACAACATATTTCGTAACAGTTCGATTACTTATTTGTTTTGACTTATTGTTTTTTAACCTTCAGTGTAAGGCCTGATTTATAAATTTAAATATGTATACCTATTTAATTCTGACAAAAGGAACATCCTATAAACAGCAATCGACAACATATTTGGAAATCATGAGTTGTTTAGAATCAAAGTACTTTGGCGCCAAAATTCCGCATAAAAAACTACGAGTTACGACCGACCGTGACTTTAAAGTGGGCACAAAAACTTGAGTTATTGAACGAACAAACAAATAATATATACGCATTATCTATGTATATGAAGATTTAATTGAAATGCTACAGGTTAAAGAATTCGATGATATCTAATATATAAAATTCCCGTGTCACATTTATGCATATTCAGTAAGCCTGAGAATAGGCTACTATTTAATTTTCAAACCCCTTATTTTTTTATGATACAACATACAAAAATACACACAACCCCTAATTTTCAACCCTTTACGATCATCCCCCATTTTTTATTATTGTAGATAGTTATTTTTATTGAACTAAAAAAATGTTTCCTACAAATAATATACATGGCAAAACAAACGTTTGCCGGGTCAGCTATAGAATTAATTGGATTAGGGTATATAATTTTTTAGGTGTATAATCGGTAGGTCTCCTTTATGAATGTTACTCTTAGTCCCAATAGCATTTAGGAATTTAAAAGAAGAAATTAAGATGGCAAGTAAAGTTTATTATCACCTTTCGGAACTCGTCTAGAGCTCACGAAACACTTTCAAGTTTATATGTTTGTGAAATTAGTAAAAACGCATACGTAAGAAACTGGCTAATAACTGTCGATTCTTGGTGATACATATTTCTTATCTCCTGTCAGTATTCCGCAGGCAATTTGTCTCTCTCGCTCTTTACGCATAGCCTAGAAAAAGTTGTAAACGTTGTACTACGTTCGGATACCTTTCTACTTCGGCCCTATTTATTTGAACCAATAAAAATGTAGTAAAAAGACCCTTAACGGCTTCATTAAAATAAAATAAAATATGTTTATTATGGAACATAAACAACACTTATTTAAAACAAATATCGCAAATTAATTAGAAGTAGCCTGTCTAGCACTAGTCCCAGGCCCTTTTATCAACTAGATAATCGTTGACTTTATAGTAAGCCTTTTTACACAGCTTTTCTTTAATACATTTCTTAAATTTATTGAAAGGCAGAGATAAAAGAGCCTCTGGGATTTTATTAAAGAAGAGTATCCCTTTACCCAAAAAAGAATTACTAACTTTAGTCTAGTACGGGGAAATTGCAGCCTGCGTTTTGTTCCGTGTATTACCATTGTGCGTATGTTCTATTCTAGTAAACTTATCACTATTTTTGTATACATACATAATATTTTCATAAATATATTGCGAGGGAAAGGTAAGTATATTAATTTCCTTGAATTTATCTCTAAGGGATTCCCTACATTTTAAATTATAGATTGCACGAATAGCCCTCTTCTTACTTATCACTTATCAAAGCAACAGTATTACATACCACGAATCTTGCGAACTGTTTTTTTAATGTTTGACATTCATAAAATTCGTCAATCAAATCCTGACATTTGCGGAGACCCCTGTCTAAACCATATGCTTCAAGACATCCCATCATATCCGCTTCTGGCTTAGCGCAGCGTCCCAACATTTGGAAATCTGACATAGGCCCAGTTACATCCGTAAAAATGGTACGTATAGCTGGTGATACATATGACATTTTTATATTAATATAACAAAATGAATGTTGTACTTGGTGACTGTCTCAGTAAATATTTTAAAGTTCACCTAAGACGGATCAAATTAGACACATCAAGGATATTGACGTGTGACGTCTCTTTTATTTTTAATAAAATAAAAATACTTATTACTTAACGTTATTTCTCTTTATTATCAACCAGTTAATTTAACTTTAAGCAAATCTTTGGGACACTGTAAAACTATTTTAATTATATTTCAGGTTTTTAAACTTATTTATTAAAGCACATATCATGTTTGTAATATTATTTAAAAATTTTTAAGTTAAGTGGAACGCATTATAAGCCACCTATACATCCTTTATAACCCAAAATCCATTAAACACATTAAATTATTATTTTTTAATCAATAGTAAAATAATTTTAGTAAACAAAATCCATCCCAATCTATTCCATTCAAAAGAAAATCTTCTATTCAAAATAAAATCCCAACATATTTCATAAATATATATAGAGATCCAGATATTAATTTTATCCTTATTAAAAACCTGACCACTTCCTTTGATTTAAGTTGAATCGTGTCTAAGTAGGTAAATGTTTATACCCAAAGATTTAAAAACAGGTGATAGGAAAATGCCGCTCTTCCTCGATCTAATGGGCGAATGGTCGGCCAGTATAACAACTGGCCGGCCCAAGGCTCTAGTAGCTAAGATCGAGATGTATATGTCAACGTAAAATTGTAAAAACCGTTAGATTGTAATCTATCTCGCGAGATTGTAAACTGTCGAAAAATTATGAACTCAACGTACTGCTTACAATTTAACGTATTATTATTCGGTAGATAGGTATAATCTATCGAAGTGAAATCGTCAAATTGTGAAACGGTACGCACCTACAATACGTTAAATTGTAAGCAGTACGTTGAGTTCACAATCTTTCGACAGTTTATAATCTCGCGAGATAGATTACAATCTAACGGTATTTACAATTTTACGTTAACATAAATATCCTTAGCTGTCGGAATAACTTTATTAACGCGATTCACGGTATGACATCATAGCAGTGATTATAGATTATAAGTGTCGCTAGTCGTACTTATAAATCGATTTTCAATAATACATTGCCTCGTCTAATAAAAATTAATAGCAAAGTAAAAGAATTGTAACGAAAATAAAATTCTGCTCAATAGAATGTATTAAACTGTATCTTAATCCGGTCATTTTAGGTTATTCAGCAAAAATAAATCAGTCTAATTGTGCTACCATTAACTAAAGTACCCATTTGTTTTTCTGTCAAATTATGTTCAGTGATGAAAAGAGACAAAGGACTGCATCTCAGTTTGGGGAGATCAAGATGCCTTAACAATAGTGTATGTAGCCATGTAGAAAGTCGAATACTAAATTTGTATGAAAATTTGTCAACATGTACTGTCATTTTCATACAAATTTAGTTTTCGACTTTCTATACATATTACTGTTAAAGCATCTTGACTAAGCCCCCAGGTACTAATATGGTCATTGTTATACTTATCCTATCACTTTATACAAATGTATGTAATAAAGATCCAAGAGAAGTACATTGTTTGCTATGTTTTTCCTATATTTACTTATAATAGAGTTTATTCATAGGTTGATTTTTATGTCTGTGTGCAATTGACATGTCTGGTTTGCATGATAAAAATCGAAAAGCAAACTTATTAAGAAACTGGTATATCATAAACCCAATAATCAGGTATATGTATGAGGCATAGAAGTTTGACCTTACTCCTGATAAAACAAAATTTATAAAAAAACTAAAATACAGGCTAGACTCATAGATGGAGCATGTAGAGCCACAGGAATATTATTAATAACTCACAAAATGCAGTAAACAGCTATATTACATAATTAATTATACAATCCCTGATTTTAATTCACTTAGTAACTATCAATTCTGGGAGTAACATACTTTTTGTCCCCAGTTAATGTTCCTTCAGCAATTTGTCTTTCACGTTCTTTTCTCATAGCCTAAAACAATTATCCATTTTATTATTGAAAGTATTTGAGATATGTAACAAATTAAAAATGCTGTATCTATAGTGTAACAAATTATCATTATTATTATGGAACAGAAGGCAAACAGCCAGGAGGCTCACCGGATGCTAAGTAATACTGCCTATCGTAGACACTCTCAATGTCAGAGGGCTTGCAAGTGTGTTGCTGGCCTTTTATGAATATAAGAATTTAAGGATGCAGAATGCAGGAAGGATCCTGCACTGTCCCTCCAACCTAAATCAACAAATCTCAACCATTCTAACCATTGACCGGAAGGCCCCACAGGTCCCAGTCGATTGTGTTTTTTCAAACAGCTTTGTTAAGGGTGTTGCTTGCCAGTGCCAGGTTGTCTGAGATTCCAGTGAGTAAGAACCACTGGATTTCCTGTACTTCGCAATGGATCGATCCATTAAGAGTTCCTATGAACTCTTAATCTATGTAAACTAGAGGCGTTAATTAACTATAATACTAACCATAAATCTCTTGAATTGTTTAGTGTTTGTTTGACATTCCTGAAAATCCTCAATTAAGTAAGCGCATTTTTTACGGCCGCGTTCTAAACCATACGCTTCCAGGCAATCCATGTAGCGCATTTCCTCTTTTTGGCATTTACCCAGCATTTGATGAGATACCAACCCTCCGGTGATATCAGTAAACGGTGAACGTAGGAAGGGAGAAATCGACATTTTGTTGCTAAAACAAACCGAATACTAGGGTTAGAGTTACGTAAACAAAATAGTAATACTTCTCAGGTATATTATATGTAGATGGACTTTTCATGCTTTTTAGAGTTTTTTTAAACATTACCTGTATTTGTTAAATTAAAAGTACTTGTTATTTTATCGCAAAGTTAAATTTCGAAATTTAAATGTATTTACAGCTGATATTGAAGTTTACGTCACATACAGTGGTTTACGTCAAAGTCAATGTCTCCGTACGCGTTAATGATTATAGGAGTAATAATTGAAAAAAAATTGTAATATACAAGATGTTACAAATATTATCTAAATTGAGAATTAACCTCAATGCACCTACAGAAAATCATCATCATCATCCAGTGACGCTACAACCCCTTATAGGTCTTCCGTCTTGGCCTTCTCCCCTGGACTCGATACTTGGCGACTCCAGTTGGAATACTTTCCATGACTCTTAAGTCAACTTCGATGCAATTTTTCTAATGTGGTATCCACGTAGTCATGGTTTTTGATGGCCTGGTCTCCGGCATTCGCACCAAGTAGCCTACCCATCTCAATCTTGAGTTTTGCAAAACTTAAGATTGACGGGTGCAAATACCCTTCTTAGAACTTTCCTTTCAAATATAACCAGTGTCCTCTTAATTCTTATACCTTTGTTAGCGTCAATGTACCATAGGCGTAAGTAATGAGCCGGACGCGGGACGACAGTGCGGAGTTCGGACTACATGCCATTATACACTAATGAGGTACGATGTACGGTGACTATTGACTACAGATGACAGAAACTGTTTAAATTTGTTGGAACAGCTGGCAATTATACAAAATAGGAAATACTTAAATCTATAATATTATTGCAAATTTGCATTAAATTTTTGACTAATTACTTATACTTAACAAATCCAATAAGATTAAATACTTAACTTTATTTAAGAATGGAAGAGTGGCTTAAAGAAAGTTTATCAAAAGTTTTAGATTTCGAAGTGCCTCCCGATCTAATAACGTTAGTTCTTAATTCCTATATATCTTGTGAAATATTGTGATTTGTATATGCTGTAATAAAAAAAAAATATTTTCAGATATGTTTTATCAATGGAGAATGAAGCAGATATAACTGAATATATGAAAACTTTAATTAATTTTGAAAATCCAGAACATAAATCATTTTTTCGAGAACTATGTAACAGGAAATTTCCCTCAAAAGGTAGGTTTTTAATAATGATGGGTTAGTTAACAAAACTTGGCATGTAGGATACATACATTTTTTTTCAATTCTAGGGACTTCCTTACCAAGACAGCTCAAGAAAAAAATTTCAAAAAATAAACAGCAGCCTGATGTGCTACAGGAAAAACCCATACCAACACCAAATGCAGAAGAATCAAAAAACAAAAAGAAAACAAAATTTGTTAATCTTTATTCACAAGAAGGCAAGAATGCCCAAACTATCTTGATTAAAGGTAATTTGTAAGTTGTTCATTATTGAGGTCCTCATTTTTTCTTTAAATGAATGTTTATATTCTTATCAAAGAAAAATTTACAGCATAATCCTTCATTACTGTTTAACTTTATTTAATAATACTGAATTTGGATTAATTTCAGTTTTACTCATTTTACTTTACAGGCAGGCATCACTGTGAGTGTCAAGCATCAAAACATGAACTAATTAACAATTGTTTGCACTGTGGCCGAATAGTTTGCAAACAAGAAGGTTCTGGGCCATGCCTTTTTTGTGGAAATTTGGTAATATTTTTTTGGCAGAATTAGTGAAAAATTTATTTAAATGGGTTACAAGTAGAATCAATAGGTGATAATCTAGTGATACCATAAAACTAGTACATTCAATTAAATTTGATTGACATATTCAATAATTTTTTTAGGTGTGCACACCCCAAGAGCAAAAAGAATTAAATGCTAAGACTAAAGCCAGTGCCAAACTAATGGAATCTTTAATGGAAAGAAGCCGGCCTAAAGGTTGGGAAGCAGCTGTTTCACACAGAAACAAGCTTTTGGAATATGATCGCACTAGGTTTGTCAAAGTGTATAAAAGTAAGATAATAGATGTTGATAATTGAAAGCTGAATAGTAAAGAAAAATATTTACTTATATGGGGGTGAAACTTTATATAATAAATATGCTGTCAAATGTAAAAAATACACTTTTAAGTTGTACTTAATATTTTAAATCTCTTTCTTTATAGTGAACGTCGTACGCGAGTAACAGACGATGATAGCGATTATTTTAATGCAAACAGTGTCTGGCTTAGTGCTAGTGAAAAGGAAAAACTTCAAAAGTATCAGCTATCACTCCATGAAAAGAAGCACACATCTAGACTCAATAAAAAGATGACATTTGATTTTGCTGGTATGTATGAAGCGCGAGAACTATAAGGATATTTTATAAAAACTGGCTCTGAATATAAGATAAATAGGATCTATGCTACTAGATGTCGCTTATCATACTTTCATTCTTTATCTTGTTCGATAAATCGCCGTAAGGTGGCACGGTCTGGTTGGCGCGCGTGTTTTGCATGTGTATATAATCACACACAGATGTCGCAGTGTTATTTACTATAATTCTAAAAGGCAGTGTCGAAACATTTTGAAATGTATATATATTTGTTTTATAATTTAATTTCGGCAAGACCTTACTTCATAGGATCATTTCTATAGTAAGCTCTTCACGCAACTTCTCTCACTACGTGGGATAACTTTCAGCCATGATGAGGAGACGTGGCGCGGTACCCTGAGCGTGAGGTTGGCAATGACGAATGTCATTAGCCCTCGATGATCGTTCACTTCTTCGCTTGCGAGGGAGCGTGGGGTACTGTCGCTGTCTGAGTGGCTTTTAAATCTCTTATTATATCATTAATTATTCATAATTTATTTCTTGTATGTCTTAAGCATTAAGCATCTATATTTAATTTTAAGTTGTTTCTTGTCAAATAGTCTAAAGTATGTTATTTTATAATTATCAACATTATCTGGCACGCACCTACCTGCGAAGTGCGATTTCGTTTCATTTCTAGAAACTGGTGACAATATTGTCTAAAAGAATCATCCACGTTTGTACACACCTTTTGCTCAGTGGCACAAGCCACGAACCTCTGTTACAACCATTTGATTTTTGAAGCTTAACGCGTAGCTTAGCTTTTTATTATTTTATTATACTAGTGGAGATCAAAGTCAAACTGTGAAATATATACACTTAACTTTTATACGATTTCCTTTAGTACACCTAAACATAAGTTTAAAAAATAACTAAATATAATTTTAAAATTACGTCCACGAGCTTTGGGATTCAATTTTGATTTAATATTAGTAATTATAGTAATTCTTTTTGGAATTTTCAACCCGTAGAAATGTTTTTAGTTAGGAGAATTTAACTAGTTACTAAACTAAAACAGGTCGCCAAGTGATTGAAGACAATACAATAGATTATGAGGTGGACGTAGAACAAATTAGGAATATTACATCCGGGAACGCCCAGGGTGGGCAATTCCTAAGAACGGATTTGTTGGCCGACTCGTCGACCGACCGGGACGTCGCTCCTGGTGTCAACGCTAATTTATTACAGGTATAAGATTTTGGAACCCGAGCTTACAACCAAGACTTGTTAATTTAAAAGTGTAAACTCTTTATAACGTTTTTCAAGGGATCGAGCATTTTTTATTCGTTATAAGGAGCGAATAAAAAAACAAATTTAACCAATTACAATAATTTCTAATTGTATTACTAGCAATAGGTAAATTATTCTAAACACATATATTCCACACGCCATTATTTTGTAGTTTTTTGAGTATTTTGTTAATATCTTGGGATGTGGTGGTATCATCTTCATGAAACAATAAGAATTTTTCTACAACTATCTAAGAATAAGTGTATGGTATATTGTATTGTTAATTGCATTAACACGTGTTAATGTAATTAACAATACAAAGACGAGACGGCTGTTTATGACCTCAGGTGTCTTTCTTATAAATTTCGGCACCTCAAAAGATTAGTTTTGTAAGCCGATTATAAAAACAATTACTTCTTCGTAATAGAGAATGGCTGTTGCGTTATAAATAGTGTATGGGGTTTGTGTTAAAACAATCAAATTTAACTATTTTTTACGTTTTTCGTTATAAAAAATGTTGTTACACTGTAATTATATTGAACATTCGTGGGTCTTTCAAATTTATGCATTTGTTTTAATTTTAATATCGATTTTGGCAAGAATCAATTCTCGATGTTTTATATACCTCTTTGAAAAAGCAATAAAAGGTTTTATTTTCTTTATCTTAGTTCGACGATACGGTGGGCGGTAACTACGCAAATGTTACTAAGGGCTGGTCCAGGGAATCTCGCGTACAAGACTCCCAATTGCAAGAGATGACGGATGCTGGGAAATGTCTGTCCATGCACCAGCCTTGGGCCTCGTTGCTGGTTGAAGGGATCAAACTGTAAGGACTTTGTTAATATATGTAGGAGAGTGGGATTAACTAGATAAAAAGTAATTAACAAAATATTAAATCGACTTTGCTTGTCAACTGAAAAGAAAACTTATCAATATAAATTATGATTTACTTGGGGATTTTTCCTTACAAAATTTACCACAACATTTTGAAACCTAAATAGATTATATTTAATTCTAACAATATCATATGAGTACAGGTCAAATTGATAACCTTCGTTTACTATGATAAAAATTTTAATTCTTGTATTAATGAATTAATAATTATATATGTATATAGTTTTTAATAATGACGTTTATCAGTGTACATAATCATCACCAAAATTTGATTTCATTTAAAGGGGAATTCATTGAATAGGCTCAATTCTTTCACCATTAAAATGCTACATTATCACTGAAGAAGGCTAGAGATCTGTATTAAACGTAAAATAAAATTCCAATATCGGCGACGATGCGGAAACTATTGACGATTGAGTAAAGTACTACAGTTTTATAGAAGATCGTCAATATTTACAAAAATGGGAATGTCTATTAAATATATAATTTAAAAAATATACCGTGCGTAGCTTGGTCTCAAAGCGAGTTTACTGCCAAACAGTGGTGTATCTCCATTTTCGCAGTGGGATGGCGTTTGCAAATAAAGTACCCTTGCTTTGATATTTAACGGGAAACCAATGCTTTGAAGCTGACAGTAATTTAAGCTGGTCAATTAGACATATATAATAGATAACGCGTGTAGGTGTGAGAAAAAAATCTAAGATACTTTTTACATTTTATCGTATTATAAATAAAACATTTAACTTAAAAAATAAATAAAGACGTTGAATTTTATTGTGTACACAGTAGGTTTGTTGAACAAAAATATATTTTAGCTCTGAAGGTCGAACCTGGTACTCAAACCATCGCGGCCGGCTGTGGATAGCTTCCACCGCGAAGCCACCAGAACAAAGCCTTGTGAGGGAGATCGAGAATAGATATAGAGTACTTTATCCAGGTACTACGTTATTATGTTAATATTTTTAAGGTTTGAAATTGAAAAAAATAAATTTACGTATGAAATTTTAAACTATTTAAAGAAATCGTAATAATAAACATTTTTAAATTAACTGCTCTGATTTTGATTTGTATGGATGTATTCTATTCCCGGCGAACATAACTTAGTTGAATTGACCTTGATTTTTATTAAAAATTCTATCCTTGACTTCCGATAATTTTTATGCTTAAGAAAATTAATTTTAAATGTTATCAATAAATTATTTTCAGATAAACAATTTAAATTCCCGACTTTCTACCCAACGGCATGTCTGCTCGGTTGCGTCAACGTAGATGACTGTTTACCGCAAGAAGAGTTTCAAAAACAGTATGTATTTTAATTTTCGCTTAGCTATCAAAGTTATAAAGCGGGACTAATCCTGCAAACAAAAATTGTATTAGAAGCATTTTTAATTATGTTTAAACTCCCAGCAGATGAATGCTTTTTTTAATACAGGATAACGCAGTTCTGAAGTGTCAATAATAAATACATTTGACGTCTTTTAATACTGTCTATTAATTATATTAAGTATTTCGAAGGATAGAATTACTAAAGTTAAAAAATCTTTAAAATAAGAAGCCATCTTGCACAATGTTTATATATTTTTATTAATTATGTTTTAGATACCCAGACGGAGATAGTGACAGTCCGTATGTGTTCGTGTGTTCGAACCCCGTCAGTCTGCGTCTGCGCTTCCCCGTCAAAGGGCAACATAAGATATGTAAGTCATATTACTATTTTAAATATTTTAGCGTTTCCTTCCAACCTGTAAATATTGTACGGAGACGTAAAATTAACATTGCTAACGGGCTTTTTAAGTAACCTTTTTTTGTATCTTTCTGTAAATGTCTGCTGTGATCGAATTAAAAAAACGTTTTCGTACATCGATGTGATGAGCATTTGGTGTTGTGCTTAGGTCTTGGGTGTTTAAATATGTATTTATATGTCTATATATCTATAATATGTATGTATATCCGTTGCCTAGTACCCATAACACAAGCTTCACCAGCTTAGTATCGGACTAGGTCAATTGGTGTGAATTGTCTTTAAAAAAAAAACGTAAGATTTGACTGTGAGTGCTTTAATAACAATTTTGTTTTCAGGGACTTTGGATAAGTCAATACATCAAGCCGCGCTCAAATGCTTACAGAAGATGTCAAAAATAGAAGCAGAACAAGCGAATGCAGCTTAACTATTTTATTATATAACTGAATAAATGAAAAGATTTGTTTAAAGAATTTTTATTTACAATAATCCTTAAACCTAAATAAATAGTCGAAACACACTTATACACACAAAATGTATGTAGTTTGTCAAAAAGTCTTGGTCATAAAACAATGATATCAATTCTAGTTTTAATCTATGACAAATTTAGTTGTACCATGAGTTTTTGACAAACTAGAAACATTTACACATAATACTTCGTATTAACTTAATATTAAGAGCACCGAAGAAGGGAAATGCAGGTGGGGTCTTAAACCACTTAAGATGCTTTATTGAGTTTTTAAGCGAATTAGTTTCGATTTTTATGTTCAACGCCATCTTGTGCGCGAAACTCACAACACAAACTCAACTAAACAAGTATTATAAGACTATTAATAATTAATCTCCAATCTTTCATTAATTTTATCTTATACTTCGCTGTTGACGTAGTAAATAGTATCCTAAACTTAGAGAAAAGAACGACGCTTTGGCAGATAAGTAGATTTGGTTTAACAGCAATCTAGCTAGGAACGTTAAGATTCCTTCTTTTGGTTGAGCTGAGGGAAAAATGCTTCTATTGGAAGAATGGGGTCGTCAGTTGCTATCGTAAAGTAATTCGGTATTCGTCTGCTATTCGATGATACTGTTTTAAACATGCCTGGCGTGTTGTAGTCTTTACTGGCTGCTAGGGTCAAATCTGAAACGCGTTTAGAATGCTCGAACAGACGCTCTATGTGGTCTTGATGCTTTTTATCCGCTATTTTCATTATAGCACTCTCAGACCTCGTTCTCTCTGAAGTTATATCGTTTTTGTCAGCGAGTGTTGTTTCGTTTATAGAGACGTCTTGAACGGATTCTCCGGTTTCAGAGTCTTTGATTTTCTTCCTCAAAGGTCTTTTGCCGGCGATTGTGCTTGATGTTTCAATCGTTTCTTCTGTAGGCTTCGGTCGTCGTTGGCCGTTCCTTATACGTGCTGAGATTTTTTGTGTTGTACTTTCTGCTGTTTCAGCTGGTTTTTGTCTGTTGTGTAGGCGTGAATGTATTTCTTGCTCATTATTTTCAGTTCTATTTAGCCTGTAACGTGGTTCTTTCGGCGTAAATCGTTTTCTTTCTGTTGTAGTTTCTATTTCAACATTGATTTCAGCATATGGGTTTTTTCTTTGTGGTCTAGGTTTGGGTGTATTTTCTACTGGTTTTTCCGTGCTACTTGTAGTTGAGCTTAGCCGGTTCCTGTAATCTTTAACACTAAATTTAGGTCGGTCATGCTTAAGCTTTAATTTTGGTCTTTGTATTTTACCAATGTTTCTTGTGGTTTCTGGTTTCGCTGTTGTCGTAGTAGTAGTTGTATCGGCTTCAGTATTCTCGTGAGCAACAGTAGTAATTTCCATTGGTCTTACGTCTCTATGAAATGAAAACTCTTTCAGAATATCAGCGGTATTTTTAAAGGAATCGGCCAAACTTACGGCAATATCGCTAGTAGGAGTATCTTTTTCATCTTGCTTATGACTATAATCTGGAACTTCGCTAGTCTTGTATTCATATGAATGTTTTGCTGTTGGGGGCCTATTTGCTATTTTCATAATAGGTGACTCTTTGTTATGATCAAAATCTTTGGTTGTGTGGGTTGTCGTTTCAGTTTTTCCAGTTGTGGTTGCAAGAAATCTTTGATGGCTAAGTTTCTTCTTCATTACAGTAGGTGTGGTAGGTGATATGGTTGGTAAAGCACTTGTAGTTAAATCAGTAGTTACACTTACTGTTGTTACAGGAGATTCTGTCCTTGATTTTACTGGTCTGATTCTAGGCCTGATTGTATGTACTTCTTCGGTTGTTTGGGGAGCATCAGTTGTTGTCGTGGTTATTTTAGCTGTGGTAGATTCTTCTTTAACTCTACTGCCGATTGGTCGTCGCCGTCTTATTTTGTTTCTTTTACGAATTTTGTCTTTATCGACGGGTTCGGAAGCACTTGGGCGCCTAAAATGTTGATTCGGTGGCAAAGTTGGTAGGGCTTCTACAGGCTCTTCACTTACAACTGTCGCCTCTGTGACCGTTTCTTGTATAACCTTAGACGGCTTTTTAGTACGCCTTGATGAAGGAGTTGATACTTTATAGTAGTAATCTTTAAGTTTATGTTGACCGATGGGCTCAAAATCATCGCCCAAAGGTCGCCTGCTTTGAGTGTCGTAATTACTTTCATAGTTATATCCATTTTCATAGTTTTTTTCTGGTTCAGTTACAATAGCGTATTCTTCGGGTGGTTCAGGTATCACTGTAGTTGGGTTAGTGAACAGTGCACTGGAATGTTCTGGCTTTGATATAGTCTCTTCAGTCACTTTTTGATTTGTTTCGTAAGTATCAGGTAGCCAACCTCCAGTTGACGCATGAGTTACATCGTCTGCTTCTTTATCAGTTACTTCATATGTCGGTTGATATGATACTGAATTTATAGCTCCAAACAAGCTCGATGCTCCGGGCGCATTTATATATTGCTGATTAACTTGCTGATTTAGGCCAATATTATCGTAAAATTGTTGTTGCTGATTGTAGTTAATATTTCCAGTTTGCTGATCATAATTTAACTGCTGTGTATTTGGAATGTTGAAATTATATTGATACTGATTGTCATAATATTGATTAGGAGACGATGTAACCTGTGTAATCGGTGTAGCTTGAGGATTATACGTTGTGATCTTATTGAATTCTGTTTGCTGCTGCTTGGAGAAAGGATCTTGTGGGCTGGGCTTAAAACCACCGCCACCGGCTTTCTTTCCAGAATTCGGGTCGATTTTTGTCGGGGCTATAGGTTTTGTTCGTGGCGTGGGTACGTTAGCCAAGTCATTAAACGTAGAGCTAAAGAATAACTGATTCTGAGCCGGTTGGAGTTTTGGAGTGGATGAGTAGATTGTAGGTGTAGTTTTAATGGTTTGTGGGAAGTTGTATGCACTAAAGAAAGTCTGTTTAGTTGGAAGCGGTTGTTGAGATTGTTGGTAAGTAGCCTTTGTAGTTGGATATGCTGGGTCTCTATTTTTCACTGTCTGCACTGCGAAAGGTCCAAAAGAACCTGAAATAAAATACATGATGGTAGAAATCACACTATTATAGAAACAAATTAGCAAGTTGTATGTAATTCGTAGTAGTAATGTGGAGGTATATTGATATACGGGCTTATAAAAATAAATAAACACTTCCTTCTGCTTATAAAATACACACCTATTATACTCGGAGGCAACTGCTGTATTCCAGCTAAATCCTGGAGTGAGTACTGGAAGTGAGGTCTGTTAGGAATGGTCAGAGTACCAATAGACTGCTGCTGAGCGGTTTTAACTTGCTGCGTCACAGACTGGGATGCTGGATCATTGTCCTGTAATTTATAAAGCTCTTGCTTGTAGATTTCAGGGCCCGACTGAGGTCGCTTACCATCAGGTCTTGCGTAAACTTGCACTGGGTTTCCAAGAATATTTATGGGGGTCGGTGTAGAATATTGTCCAAAATTAATAGGCTGGGCACTAGTCAGTGTTTGGAGAATGTTATTATGGTATTGATGGGGCAGCTTCTGCTGTGTCTGTTGCTTCTGTTGATAAACCGGGCGTGAAAGGTAGGGGTTGTGTGTATTTCTGAATATGTTGTCGACGGGATAGTTCTGAACGAATTTATATTGAGATAAACCGTTATTAGGTAAAGCAAATGGATTGAGGTATGAACTGATTGCTTGGTTTTGGGCTGGTGAAACTGGCACTGTCCGTAAAGTTGTTGGTCGGTATGATTGTGCTATTGAAGTTAGTTTGGTGGCATCTCTCGTTGCAACAGGGCGTCCAGTTGATTGATAGTAATCCTGGATTGGTTGTTTGTAAGGGGCATGGAGTGGTGCGGTGTTCAGTGAGCCATATAAGAGTCCGCTGGAACCGACGACAGGTCTCCATCCACTTTTGGATACGGGATAATGCTGGAAAAGAAAAAAAATTAAACCAAATATAATATTTTTCACAGTAGACTTTTTTACTTAAAAAAAAATTACCGAATGTGATGCCATAGACCGACGAAGGTGTTTGGTGCTTACTACAGACAAAAATAAACTTTGCAAAAGCAGCAACGACACCCATAGCCGCACATCTGAAAACAATACCTTTATTACTATAAGCCAATATATTTTTTCTATAAAGCAATCCCCAAAATAATATTGTATAGTTTTAGACTTTTTTTATTTTAAATGAATTATTATTAATCGTATCAAAAACTTTATTACTAATATGAATTTTAATAACGTTTTTCATTAAAAAAAATTATAAAGAAATCATTCCTAACCCTTTTGGCTTTGCTACAATTGTTTAAAATTAAGAAATTGATCGTATATTATGTAAAACATGACGTGAGAATATTAGTGAAGCATAAAAACATTATCAACAATACGCGTATTTCAAAACTGTATAAGTTTCAAGCTTGCCAAATCTATTGAACTCGCCTATACGTTGAAAAATATAAATATATGTAGAGCGGAACTGAATTTGACCGTGAAGTTTTCGTTCCCACGAACTTTAGCTATAGTTATTTTCTAAATTTAGTTTATTTAAGTAAGAAAACAAGACTGATTGAAAAAAACTATATACAATTACTATACTTCCGTTGCAAATGGAGTGGATTTCTTTGCTGGGTGGGTTACAAGGAATTTATATTTCCGATAGCGATGGTAGAAACAGATTCGTGCTAAATATATACATATGTCATATAAACTACCAAATTTTGTATCTATACAAAATTGCAGGAGCGGAAGTTAATTTCTTAATTTTTTTTTAATTTAAGATAAACACTATCACATATCTAAATTAATAACAAACCCATTTATTAATAAAAATAAAACACAAGGTAATCACAATTTGACAGAAAGAGTTCAAATAGATAGATTTAATTATTACGTGATTCAAAAACCCCTGCAATGAGAGAGTATTTAAACCATTGACATCAATTATAAATGACTCAACTGTTCTTAATATTATTATAACATTATGATAATTAATATGACATTTGCATGCCTATTTTTATAAGGCTGATTTTTTTATAATTAATTTTACTAAACGTACTTTCTTACAAATAAACGATTTATTTTTATTTTTATATACGTAAATATATACGTTTACTGACATATAAAGGAAATATGGATAGTAAACAGTGGCTTTCTATATAGCATTTATGTACCACACATTGTTATGTTGCACGGGGCATATTACGCCATAACTATGGGAGCTGTTTTGAATGGGCAATGACACCGAAAGTTCCCTGACGTGTGTCCATGGTACTTATGACGACTCTTGTGTTGTCGTATGTGTCATATGTAACGTACGTGGTAAATTTACAAGTATATAATCTATTTCAAATTTTTTTCAGTTGTAAGCATTATGTTGTTGCAAGCCGTCCGCACCTATTATCAAGGGCAGCGTAACTATACTATCTGGGGCCCGTGGCAAATTCTTTTGACGGTTATCAGTAAAAATCGTCACGTTGTACTCAGTTTAATTTTAATAAACTTCAAGATTTTCCGCGTACTCAATTACACGTTATATATGTCCGACTAATGGCCATAGGTCTCCTCTCTTAGGCGAGAGGGAATGGTCTGTAGTCCCCACGCTAGCCCATTGCGCCCATGCGTATTGGAGACTTCACATCTTCATCTCTTGGGAAGGGGCCCTCTTGGGTCGGGGGCCAATGGCATTTTGCCAGCCCTGCCACCCTATTGTTACGCCACTGATCAAGGCCATACATTGGTTATAATATGTATAGCTTGTTTATTTATTTTGTGTTGTATTAGATTAAATTTGCCGTTCTATTTTGCAAGATATACTAAAAGTTGCGTTAATTGAGAAAATTTTATCAAAGTCTTTAACGTATACTAATTATAATATTAAATAAAAACAGCTATATTTGAAAAAATATTTTACTCAATAACATTTAATTTAGAATATAAATTCAAAGAGTTTAATAGTACAACTTTATAGTGACCGGTATTTAGGTGTAGAAAAAATACTAAAATTACGCTCTGATATTTTTCTATGTCTCGTTGTCTATCCTGAAAGATTCATTAGCTCGAGACATGGTTCACTATCATGAGACATCAGGTTACATTCCGTAAACTTTACGTACAAAGTTTTATAATTAAGCGTAAAGAATTTATCAAGAAGTCTGTAGAATGTAGAATCGTTTGTGTGTGCGTTCGCGTTGGGCACGCACCATGACAGCCAGTCTAATCACTACAATTGATCTTACTGAAAGCTATTTTTTATATTCTAGGCATAAAATTGATAAAAAATCTGTGGCGCTTTTCAATTTCATTTACATTTTGTCAAATTGGCCCGTTAGATTGTAAAATTCATCAGCTATTTTGATTATAATTTAAAAAATATATATCTTTATTTTAATTTTCTGTTTATCAATTTGTAATTATTATTATTACTTTGTTGGTTAAGAATCCTGTATATTTCTGTGTTGGAAAAAATATACATATGTATATTGCCTTAATATATCTTTCAGATAATTTTATATATTTAATTATATGATATTTGTTATAAGTTATTTACCGTCTTAAATATACTGTATGACTACTGACTTTTATTGCCGTTATAAAATTAAACGATTTTGTTATATGTTGTAATGTAATGTATAATTATAAAATATTCCAATGCACAAATCAACTCTTTTATTACAAACATTTTCGGATCTTTATTCTTCTTATAGATGACTGTGCTGCGTTATGTTGCATATTAAGGATAACGATTTCTTTTTGCGACGTGTGAAAATTTGATCACGTATCATTGGAAAATAGAAAATGTAATTGCGTGATTTTGTTTGAGGTGACGTCTCTAAGACGACTAACATTGCAACGAAATACCGCATTGATAATGTGCGTTAACAAAAGGTAATGAATGCATATAGCGCCACAGAGTGTCTTAGAAAATATAGCTCCATCAAGTTGGTGCTAGCTGGAAAGTACAATGTGGAAGATAAGTTCGTCTCCTTCTAGGCCCTTATAGACACACACTCTGTAGTATTTCCACCTTAATTAGCTTAATTTCATGCCATTATAGAATTTTTATTTATGTATACATATTTAATCAACAAATAGGTATAACTTAATACAACGTTTATTTCAATCAACTTTTGGCCATTCGTCACTTAAATTAATCTATTATTTATTTCTTCTTTTATATATCAAAATAATTACTGGCCTTTCATGGTAGCATTAGTAAGTAGATTCTATGTGTAGAAATAACAGTTTTGATGGTATCAGTATTTCAAACATCATTTCAATTGTTAAATACCACTTCGCTTCAATTTAGAAAATTGATAATATAATAAAGAGGTAAGTGACAATATTTTAGTAGAAGTTATTCTAATTATTTTACCTAGCGTACCAATTCTTAAAAGGCCGGCAACGCACTCGCGAGCCTTCTGGGATTGAGAGTGTCCATGGGCATTTAACATCAGGTAAGCTTCCTACCCGTTTGCCCCCTGTTCTATTAAAAAAATGCTGTTAATTTATCCTTGATTATTGTTAATTTAGCAATGTTACTATATGACATCCCGCTTGCTCGCAATGCTCTTCGGACCGTAGCACGTTTCACTCCAGCTATTTGCTACGAGAAAATACATTTTAATGTCTCAGCCACGCGAGAGAGCGTTCACAAATAAAAGTGCACTTTAAGAGGCTGAAATTAAAAGTGATTTTCATGTAATGATACTGTATGCATGCGTTCGAAGCTAATCACTGCCATCATTATCTTGATTTGTGTGATTATGAGATGTAGTTTATAATATACATGGTATAGAAATTAATTCAAAAATTTTATTCTAACATATTTATAAATGAAGTGACAAAGATTATTAAACTAAATCAACTCTGTAGTACGGATGTTTTATATTATTTTTAACGTCGTTAAATATACAAGTGCCTCATAAAACTATGTTTGAAAGTTATAAAAAAGAAACATTTTTAATACACTGTTCAAATATGTATGGAAGAGAAACTCAGTTAAAAATATAATAATTTTATACATATTTTATTAGAAGTATTTGTTATGTCCAAATCGTCGCATTTTTCTCTTTCGAAATCTCAACATTCGTAAAATGTGTCAATCTAAAACATTTTTCAATTATGGCAGATAGTAAAGAACATGACATACCCCACATCTGAGAATAATTAATTATAGAGAACAGTTACAGTGAATTTTGAACTAACGCGTCAGGTTTGGAATCTTGGAATTGCTTTTTCAATAACAATTTCAGCGCCAATTTAAAGTATGCCCTTACTAGACTGCGTAACTGTAATTACGAATGTTTCCCACCACCTTTTCAGACGGCCATCCATGAAATATATGCTAAAAAGTATATAGAATAAACATTGTTTAGAACGTTGATCATAAAAAAGTCACCGTATTGAATAGAGCGCGTTGAACTCTACTGTATGGCCAGTCCGTGCTACCACCGCGTTGCAACGTTGTGACTTTATACCGATAAATTGATTTTCACACCACATTTAATTGTTACGTATTTATATGTATTGTAATTGTTACAATACCATATCTAGGTTACCTACTAACTTAATTTAGAAAAATTACGAAAACTTTACAATAAGATTTTATTGAAGTGCATTTTTGAGTATATCTCTAAAATTACATTCAGAGATTAGATCTCTGAAAGTAATTTTTCGATGAGTTTCATCGTTTTTTATTGCCGTTTTAGATTTAAAGTATTTGAAACTTCAATCATGCTCGTTTATTTATATATTATATAGATCAGTGTTAATTCAGTTTTCTGGTAGTACATCAATAGCTTTTCTATGTATTACACTTGCATCTGATAAAGTAAAATGTGGAGAAGAAACCGGCGTATCTTAACACACATACACAAATATATACTTCTTCACTTCACACAAATCTTTGTACAGAAGGCATGGCCTACTTGCCTATAAAGAAAAAAATGAAAAAACAGCAGAACTGCGGTCTAGCCTCTTAATGGCTTCCAAAACACTACGCTAGTAAGATGCCTAATCAAACCCCTGCATTTTCCTATTATAAATGTGTATTTCATTAAAAATACGCTATTATAACATGCAAATAAGCTATCCCACCGATACTTCCTTGATTTTTATAGCCATAGTTTTCAATTTCACACACAAATTGATAGATGTCATTGTCACTGTCACTTTCGAAGACCATTCTTCTGCTTGTGGGAATACAGTGTTTTGTTGTTGTAAAAGTTTATTCAATGTATTAAGTAATATGCAATTATCCGTGTAGAACTTAAAGTATAGTGTTTCCTATGTAAAAATTATATAATTATTGACGTACTTAGACTTTTTAAATAGAAAAATAATGAAGAAATTTCCAGGTGCTGATTTGTGTTTTGTGGCCTTATTTATTTTTAAGTTGAAATTCAAATAAATATATAAACAAAAATATATGTATTAATTATGATAATTAAAAATTAATAAATAGAAAATTGAAACAAATTTAAAAAGTTTGATGACTGAAGCAGTGTACCTTTAACGCTGGCAGCATTTCCTCGCTGTATTGCGGTAAATAAAAATAATAAAAATAAAAAATATAAATTTCTTAATTTATATTTATATTATTGAAAAGATATGTTCTTACATATTGCTATTTCAACCACAAAATCTATTACTATCGATAATCTATGTTATCCGGAAATTCAGAATTGAATTACGAGCAAAATAAAAATTGTTTTCAATCGGTATAGAGATTGCCTTAAACAATTATCAAAGAATTAGTTGCACCTCCTACGATGCCAGAAGACTTTAAACAAATAACATGCTACTAATATAATCAATTTCACTAGTAATTTCAGTGATATATGAAAATCTTGTTACCTATAAAGCAATTAAATTTGACACGTTTGTCACTAGCGAAGAATCCAAAAACAATAATGCGTCCTAATGAGCATGTAATGACGAGTACCGGAACGAGCAAGGCCTCATTACGATTCACCGCCCGTGACCTTCGCTGGTCACTTTCCATAACAACGTGACCCGACTACAACTTCGCCAATTCACTTTCTTCCAAATATTGCGATTGAACTAAGGTTGTTGCACCTCGTATCCTTAATTTTAAGCTATCAGATGAATGTTTTTACGTATTATGTACATATTTATTTCTGATTGTCACAAATAAACTGTTTATAAAGAGGCTCAATAATTATTGGACTACAGTTTTGAATGTAAAAATCTTCAATGTATAATATTGAAGATTTTACACGATTTCCGATATAAATTTTTATATTTTTTTTATTTAACTTGGCTCTCAAAAACCGTCTCCTTCCTTATTTCACTTTATAAATACCATAGTTAGAAAACAGAATATTACTCTCCGGCAACTTTGGTGACTGGTTAAGGAATTTCTAACGATTTGTACGCTGATTAAGTGAATTTTCTTGTGTAATACTTGGGTACAAGATACTATATTATAATATGTAGTGTATGATTATTCAGGTTGTTGGCTAATTTTTAAATAAAGTAATGATGTAATTATAACATTCAATTCAAATACAAACAAAACAAAACAAGGACTTATTATCATTTAGTATGTTTTTACCAACATTTTGCTAGTTGTGCTTCCTCAAATCCATTATACACGTTGCAAAAATGTATTTATTCAAACCATGTCTTACTTTCTCATACGTTTTGCAATATAATAACCTGACACATTTGGCATTTAAATAAGTTGCTTATCGCACAAGTGAAATTTTATTACAGGCACAAATTGTATAGAATAATGCATCATCAAATCAAACTGACCTGTGACTCATGACACACATTAATGTAATTTGAAAAATTTTACTCTTACTATATATGTATATACAATTTCAATGTGTTTGAAGTACCGTAAGTTCCCAATGCATGCGCACTTTGACTGTTAATTTCTATTGAAACTGAATCCAGCGGAAGAAATAGTGCATAAATGAGTAATACCAACATTAACATCTAAAACGCCATGCCAGGTACGGGGCATGAAATATAATCCTTAAGGACTGCTACAATCCATACAAAAACTAAGGACAAGGGTGCTACCTACTATGCTAGGCGGAAGACGTTTTTGTAAAGGATAATGAAAATTTGCACGTCTTGTCTTTTTTTTAGCATTATTACGTTTGAGTAGTTAAAACACGAGCACATACCATTTCTTTACTCAATTACATTGACAAACAAATGTATGGTCAATTAACAAAGTTGCATCTTAATTAAATACCTACAGAAGTGTTGGCTTAGGTGGTCCTTGATTATACCATTCATGCAACGGGTGAATCACAACGAATCAAGCCCTTACCTTGAAGGAAATCGGATATTAGTTACACTAAAATATATTATGTGTTAGGGTTAAAGAGCTGTTGGAAATGTGTAGAAATTTGTATATATTAAACATTAATTCTTGCAGAAAATGAACTGCCTTGATATCACAGCCCATAAATTATGTAATTAAATGTAGTATCACATAACATATAATAGTTAACACAAAGTTGTAACAATAAGGTTCGTAAATGACGTAACAGACACTTAAGGTCCCATAAAATAGTACGATACGCACGCGTGGTTACAAAACACTACCAATTTTAAACAAACGCTTTTCTTTAGCGAAAGTTAATGATAATAAGCCGAAAATGGAGCGAATTACTGTGTCAGACTGTTAGAAGCTTATGGCGTATGTGGGAAATATTGTTGCGAAATTTGAACCTACTAGTATTACACACTTAGTTACATTTTCCTTAGAATAGAATTACCTTGGGACTTGCGAGAGAAACGCGTTTATAGCCACTAAAATGTGAATAAATTATTTCTTTCTTTAAGGCAAAGATTCCTAGACATAATTCTCAAACTTGTCGCGCGATTCGCGGTTACTCTGGCAATCATAATGTGTGACATTTTATATGAGTACATAAAATATTGGTCTATTTAGAGACTCATTTTGAGTAAAGTATTTTTTATTTATTAGCTTCCGGCCCCACTTTCGCTCGTGTGGTTTTCGAGTATTTGCCGAAACTATTTAGGACCTATACAATAATAATCGTTATATTATATTTCAAGTAACTATAATGTTATTCTTTCTTTAAGAATGACTCCATCTATTGGGTGGAATAAACCAAAATCACAAATTTATAAATAAATACCCCACCTTTCAATAAAATACTCTTAACTATTTGAGAGACACAAAACGTGTGAGTTCGAAGAATCGCAGGGACCATCGTTTTAGAGTTTTTCATGATGAGTATGACGTGCAAAAGTTTTAACAAATATAATACATACATTAAACATCCCATAGATAATAATAATCAATTTCGTAACCTACATAGTATAAAGTAATAATTAAAAATTAATAAAGAGAAAATTAAAAAAAATTTAAAAGTTTCGTCCCTGTGCAGTTTAACGCTGGCAGCATTGCCCAGTGGATCTTTTTAGTTAATCGCATTACACAACAAATAATAGTTAAATCTTTCTTTCTTTTTTTAGTTTAGTTTTTTTCCTGTTTTAGGTTAGTGTAAATAACTATAGGTATTACGTATTTTGCATACCTTATCTAATTTAACAGTAGTTGCCTGGAAGAGATCGCTCGAAAGCGATAAGGCCGCCAGTTGCCTTATTCTTATCGTTCTTTTCATTTAATTTTGTCAATCTTATTATGTTATTGCAACGAAATAAAAAATAAATAAATAATCCCATACAACTATGGTTTTCTGGTTTCCTTTAGGTCCCTGTATACCCCGTGAAGACTGTGTTAACTTTGACCCCATTCATTGTCTTCCAAGCCGAAACAATTATTTTTCTGGAAATAGAACTCATAAATAAAATAAAAAATAAATAAAAGTAAGTAAGAGCATTTAAGATATAAATCAAAAGTATTTAATTCAAACCATTTCCTAAATACAGTCATTAGTACACTTCCGGGCGTAACCTATATTATAATTTGGTGTCATGCTGCACGGTATGTTTCACTCCATTTCCTTTCCTTCCTCTATTATTTCGAAGACATTTATAGTTATCGACCAATATCTTGATAGTACAATAATAGTGTTCGGCTTCAAACTATAATACACCGTTTTAGGTTTAAAGATATTTATTCTCATAAGAGACAATAGTCACTTACATGAGAATTTATATACCTACTAAATATACAATCTATCACGTCGGGGTTCATTGAAGAGCTTCAAGCTTTGCGAAGTAGTTGGGTGGATTCATATACGTAGAGAACTGGGATCACTCAAGAGATGGTCTTTTAGTCTTAATTTAAATATTGCCAGGCTGTCCGCACTTTTTATATTTTGTGGAAGTTTATTATACCGTAGCACTCCCCCAACGCTCAATATTTTTTTACAATAATTGGTTCTATACTTAGATAGAATAAGATTATTAGGACTATTTCGTATTTAGCTTTAATTACCATATTTAACATACACGGACAATATTAAATGCCTAATATTTTTGTATGACTAGTATTTGTAATTTCAGACTTCATGCGGATATAAGGATTGATGACCTTCAGCGAGAGAGACGGTCGCATTGACAATATAAACAATATGAACGTAATATGAAAATCTAATTAAGGAAACTTGTGACCATTTCACTATACGGCTTTGGAATTATTCATCGAAGAATCTCTTTTTAAAGTTAGTATAACCAAATACAATGCCTTCAAGACAATAAGTCTAAGAAAATGAATGGTGTTATTATCACGTTTTTGCCACAATAAATAAAACACTATTGATTTAAATTACCGCAAATAGTTTAAGTGACAAAGAAGTGAAACTGAATAATTGATCACGTTTTGCTTTCTATTTTTACATTTTTCTGGTACAATATTGTTTTATTATAGGCCCTGATAGTTCTGATTTAATTTTTTTAAACCTTTTCATACATATACATATATCTCTATAAATATAAAACTCTCACACAATGTTCGTTCCTATACTCCTCCGAAACGGCTCGACCGATTCTTATGAATTTTTTTATGGATATTCAGTATGTCTGAGAATCGGCTACTATCTATCTTTCAAACGCCTAAGTGATAAGGGGTGCCCCCCCCAAAAATTTTGTTTTTATGTTTGTTTGTTTGTTTTTTATGATACAGCAAACAAAAATACATACAACCCTTAATTTTCGCCCCTCAACGATCAACCCCAATTTTGTATTATAGGCGATAGTTAGTTTTATTGAACTAAAAAAAAATTTTCCTAGAAATAATATACATGGCAAAACAATGTTTGCCGGGTCAGCTAGTGTAATTATAAATCTTTAGGGAATGACAACTCACTAACATTCTAAATACAGTCTCCGAGTTGCAATAGTTAAGCGATCCAGGACCTAGATTAGATACAACTTAAAAAGAGAAAAATTAATCGACTCATGTTCCACGATAAAACTTACATTTCCTGCATTCGATTGACGTTTCAACAATTCTTCCTGGCGCTGGTAGACGTAAGTATTAAATTTTTAAAACAATCTCGACACCATCTACCACGTGCCTACGACTAAGGGAGATTATCTTTTAACTCTAAAATGAAACAATATTGACTTCCTAAAAAAAATTCTACTGACAATTGACATCATAACGAAATGTTAAACATACAGTCACTAGTTAAGTTTAGATTCACCGTTAAGCACATAAAAAGTGGAATCATAATGCTGATTTAAGCCGGTCATACACGTTCTTGTGCCTATACCCCAATAATTACATGTAATGTGAATTAATATGTAATTTACGATTATTTTCCATCGTTAGAAAGACGTTCACCCACTTGCCAGGAAATGCATAGTGATTTTGATTTCCGGTAGAAATGATAAAGAATATGTTTTTATCATTGATATGCCCTGCATACCGGTTATACGTATATAATTGGTCTTATTAAAGTCTTTATTTAAGAGTTACTTATATAATATTTATATCGCTTTAAAAGATTTCTACATTCAAGATTCTGTTATAACGAAAAATACTTGTAAATTTTATCGTAATCATTTTTATGACTCGATAGC